TGAAACAAATTACAGCACAAAGTATTTAAGTGTAAAAATATAAAAACAGTTTTTTTGTTTCATTTTGGTAGCATGAAACGAGATGAGTGATCATATAAACACGCATTAGCAAGCGATACTGTATAATGCAGACGGCAGCAGCAGTAGCAGACTAATTCTTATTCAGGCCGCGTTTTTGGAACTTGGAGCCAGAAATCGCGCTCTGTATGCCTCCCGTAGCATAGTCAATGGAGGCCTGATAGAACCCTTCAAGAGGTAGACGAAAAACAATTCCTTTAATGACATTGACGATTGAATCACAGCCTGCAGCAGATCCGGAACGAACAACAAGTCGTGATGCTGCAGCGTGAAGTAGACGGGGTATCAGATGAGGTGCGAGAACAGCAGCTTCAGGCAGATAATCGATCGCTGTTCCAACATTCAAGGAACCCCGTAGACATGGCAGGAAAACACGCTCAAGTACTTCTGGCGCTTGATGTGGCACGGAGCGATAGTAACGGAAAAAGAGTTTGTATAGAAGGGGCTGAAGTTTAGCATCTTCCGGCGAGCAGCCATCGAAACTGGAGTGAACACTCTTAAGTAAATGATGCTCCAAATCCGCCTACATATGAAAACAAATTAGGTCGAATAGAAAGCGACGATTGAGACTTAAGGAAATATTAAAATAAGCCTTACCACAAATGGCTCCAGGAACAAAGGTTTCCTTTCAGTCATTTTCTCAAGATCCAGAAGTGTGTGCTCAATCGCTAAGATGAAAAATAAGCAACTTAGAAAGAGGGGGTTTGAAGTAAGCGGATGGGATTAAAAGGAATTAAGAAAAGATGCTTAATCATTCCAAAAAGCGAGAACCAAACGGCGTTGGAATAGATCGGCCGCTCTTATTTAATGCAAAATATGCCGGACGAATAACTGAGAAGAGCTTAAAACCAGCAGAGATAAAAATAACTCCATTACTACAAGCGTCTGCTAATTTCTCCACATAGTCACAGCTCCACATAGTGAAGCTCCACACAGTTAGTTCATTTAATGGCCAATCAACTATACCCAGGGAACACACATGTGTGTAAATCCACCACCGTCCCTTATGAATACCAAAACCACAAAATTTGCGTTTCAAAACTACAGTGACATTTATACCTGGTCTGCATTTATGAAATGCCATTACAATAGTGACGATGCATAAAGGCATGCTTTATACGGGTAATTTTCTATGTTTTAGCACAATTCAAAAATACAATCATAGGCTTGCAGGCTACAATGCAATGGCAAAACGACCGAAAAAAGCACGAACCTTCAAGAGAAGTTGGATTACGGATTTTCTGAATCGAGGACTGCAGATGTGGCAAATTCTTGATCGAAGGTGGTGGAAGGATAATAGACGAGGCGCTAGGAGAATCGGAAGTGAAACCAGTGAAAAGACTCGACCTGGCAGAGAGCCAATTCAACTCCTCCACAGACACTGCACTCCACTGAGAGTCCTTACCAATTCCACGCCGATAAGCTCGTAGAAGTGCAGAAAGACGGTGTTCAAACTGTTCACTGTACCTCAACTGTCGATAGTATGATGCCATCACATGAATCATACTTGCGAATATACTGTGTATATGCTCTCTGGAAAAGATGAAAAACAGAGAAGGCATTATAAATCCCCTGCTATGCTTATCGGGACAAGCTTTTCTTTACCGCTGCTGATATAATATTTTCAGACAAAGCAATGAAAGAAACCTTTAAACTTCAACTCTTAAGTAATGCAACAGCAGCCTTTGACATAAAATTTCGTAAATAATGGAAATATTAGAAATAGAAAACTTTAATGTGAATCGCACATTGATAAGTACTGCAAGCTCGAAAGAAAGTGTACAGTCCATTGTTATGCCTTTGTCTGCAATGAGTAATTCAAATTACTGTGATCTCTCTCGATCTCTTTCCATTCTGATTGGGAAAGAAGTGATCGAAACGATATTCCAATAGAAACAAACTAGAGTTCTAATACCGTTCTGGATAATGGTCCCTGATAACAAGTCAAAGGGCTTTCCACAGAAAATGTGGCTTAGAAAGGCAGGAGTTATTTTTACAGAGTCGGTTGGCTAATAATTAAAGACCCCAAGCCCAATAAAATGAGCAAAAAGGAAAGTACTCTGGAGTCACCTTTTGCAATGCTTTTTGCTGACTAATGCCCTCGAGAGCGACAAAGGTATCCGTTGACTATTGACCCACTGGAAGGCCACTAGTTGACAATTTTCTGTTCGTCTTATAACTTACTACTATAACAATGGAAAGTAGATTATAGACGTGATTTAGCCAAGGGAGCAAAAGAATTTTAATAAACGATATTCGACTGTGAATATATCTTCCCCTTGATCTTGTCGGGATAACTTAAATAAAAAAAACTAAAAAGCAGGGTTCTCTCAGAACTCACCTAAAGCATTCAGCCTCTGGAGAGAAAAGCACACCATCGTGCTTGGAATCAGTAGAAAACGCCAATACCTCCATAAACCTCAGTACACTAAAGTAGAAATTGTCCTGTTTTGAGGATTCAAATGCCTTCCACGAGATTGTTCCAGCCACTGCGGAGGGATTAAAGAAAATATCATCAACATCTCCACCACCACCACCACCTCTACCAGCTTCATTATTGGAAGAGGTTAAAGATACGTCAAAACGGCCTTGAGCAAGACCTGCAATAAGAGGTACAAGACGAAGTGCGAGAAGTGGATGTTGGGAAGCCATGGCGATGATTTGAGGGCCAGCGAAAACTCGTACGGCATCGAATTTACTCGACAATGAGGTCAAGATATTCCCACCTATTCGATTGACTTCCCTGGATTCGAAACACTTGGGAGAAGTGCCAGGATTCCGAAGAAAGGCTTGAGTTTCAGTACGAGAAAGAGCGTAAATGATACCGGGTCTTCGAAAGTATGTACAAAGCAGTAGGCTCTTAGCACTGTCACTAAGATCGATAGGAAGATGACATTTAGTGAGATCAGAGGGTAAATGGGAAGGCGGCAATTCCCGAAAATTTGCTAGGTATTCCATGAAGGGTAGAGGCGAAGGATAACTTTGAAGAGCCAAGTCAATGATTGGCGCCCGAATAGAGATGAGTTTATCCCGAATTAGCTATAAGGTTAGAATATGCTATTAGAAATGATGTTAGAAGCTTTTATAGAGCTTTAAGAAATATAAAAACCCACCTCAGGACTTTTGGAAGCTTCCAGACAAATATGGGTGATGAGACGCATACCTTCGTGAGGATTAGTGAGACGATGAACTAGGGAGTAGATATTGCCAGCATCGGGCTTCGAATGGTATTCTTCCAAGGGCACAGCGAACCTCAGAGCTGGCAGATTTATTATCCCAAGTATTGTATCTAACACCAGTTCAGAGCTACAACAAAACGGTATCAATTTCATTCGGTTATTCTCCAATAGGTTTTATAGCTGTTGTCAAAGATAAAACAACTTACCAAATCCTTAAACCTAGACTCAGATAAATGTATCTAACCAGTGTGTTCCGGATTTGCTAATGTGCGCTAAATTTTTGCTTGTTTAGGCCAGCAAAGTATCGTATTTTATGCAATAAGCTGATTAACTCAAAGTAGACCAAAGAACTTTTTCTCTGTAAGTGTTAGTTCTTCTAAAATCCATGAATCTACTTACCAAAGCACAAAAAATTTCAAAACACGTTGCTCAAATAGAAACTGTGAACACAACCATCGTCTCTTAAATGTAGAGCCATACATATTCTATCTGGATGGCGTGCTTAAATAAAGGAAAAAGGGGTTAATTTTTTTAACAAAGTAAAGTATTTCGTGGAATAATTTTCCCTTTCTGTGAGGTTGAGCAGACAACTGGCATTTCCCCCCTAGGGAACAGATCAAAGCAAGAGAGCAAAATGAGATATGATTTGTCGAAATCTTAAGCCGATGGGTCAGGAAACAAAAAAATTGCGTCTAAACACTGAAAACAGGTCTCGAAGCAACTTCTTTAAAAATAAGGCAAATATAAACGCTGAGTGTAGACATTAAAACAATTTCAAAAAGAAATAAAGTGATAAATTTACGCAAAAAAGCGCAAATGAAGAATAGAGCCGAGAGAAAAACAGAGATACAGGGAATAGATAATAAAGGCCACTCTTAAGTGATTGGTTCATCTTAAATAAACAGGGATGCTTGCACGTATTTAGGGATATGAATGGATTTGTGCACTGCCGAATGCACTCCAACATAGGCTGGACATTCAGCAAAAACAAGTAAATACTTCCACGCGAACCAACAGACGTGAATAGAATTCGCAGCATCGATTAATGAAAAAATTTAAATTTAGATCGAACAAAGGAGGCTACTTACTCCAGTGTAATGACATCTTCTTGTAGGATTCTTCGAAGGCATTCACGAAGGATTGTGGGCGAAGTATTGTGAACGATTTCTTCTGCGAGAAAATAGCGACTTCTACGTTTATCTTCGTTCGCATCTCCTTTATTATGAAGAACCAGCTTTTGAATAAGACTCCAGGCACCATCTTCTGATTCGATTTCAATTGATGAGATTCCGTAAATCGTAAGAACTTGCATTTGTTGTGCTAAAGTTCTAGAAAGAAGAACATTAAGAGTAATATTTGCAAGTTAGAGAACTATTCATTGAAAACGGAAAGATGACTAACAAAGATTCCAGTCTTTCAGGATTGAGTGGCAACCCTAAAGGAGATGACTTGGGTTCATCCAATAATACATCCACCTGGCTACCATCTTTCTTATCCAAAGCAGAACGCAGAGGATTCAAAAGAAGTCGCTCCATGAGACTAGTATGGAAAGCGATTTTGGGAAATTCGGAAATGGATAATTCAATTGCCTTCTGATAGCGATTGACCGTCTGCAAAAATGCAAATAAGAGACATTTTTAGTTGACCAATAGATATCGTTTCACAAAAGTTTGTCTTACGATGTTAGTGCTGATTAAGAAAGCCAGATTAGTTGTTGTCATTTATAATAAAACGGCTCATTATTCAAGAGAGGTGGCTTATTATCTTAGAGTAACTTCACAATACCTCACCTGCACCAAAGGTTACCATTATTATTATTATTATTATTTCAAATGACAGGCATTGCGATATTTATCTTTTGCTCCTGCACCACAGATGAGTGTTGGTAAACGCCTCGTGCAAAACTGGGAATTTAATTACGACTGATATTTGTGAAATATATTCCTTTACCACTTATATTGGTACTAATGACCTCAGTGTGGACACATGACAAACACCTATCAGCATACGGCAAACCGCATAGGCACAAACAATTTCAGCTTCAAATAATGTACTAAAATGCTTATGAGAGTTTTTCCATACTTCACAATACTCCTATAATTAAGCGATGGGGTGACTAATAACAGTGGAACCAACAGAAACTAATTTAAAATTATTTACAGCAAAGCCTAGACGTATAATTAAAAGGAAACTAAATTCAGAGAGGTGTCTTTTAATAAGTGAAGTCAACCAATTTTAACGAATTGAGAGGAAGAGACTCAAATGATGCAATGACTAAATAATGCTAGGGGAATGAAACATTTCAATTAACTTTTAGGTTAAGGCGTTAGAATAGGAAATTAGGAATTTGATCCAAATGTACGAGATCAGTGTGTAGGGCTAAAGAGAGGGAAAAGTAATTACTCACCTTATTATCCGACATTGTCAAACCTAGCAAAAGGCATGAGCGTATAAGTGAATAAGCGAAAGTGACTGCAGTCAAGTTAGGCAAAACCTTCAACATATCTCCCATAGGAGGAGACTTCGAACTAGCCGACGATGATGTTCCCCTACCTCGTTTTGTCGGCGTCTGCACTGTCTGCAGCACCTAAAATGGGTAGAAACAATACTCACAACCTTACAGCAAGCTAGCTGATAAGAATAAGTTGACGAACATACGTTTACTAGATCTTGCATCCAACGATTTCGCACAACGGCTGAGCTATTAATTTTTATGAGCGCAGAACAGAAGGCTTCGGACTGTGTGTGAAAATCAGCTTGAGATCCAGCGAGTTTGTTAAAAAAGTCCCTCCATAGATTTTTTGAAGCAGTTGGCGACTCAGGCGAGACAGGGGGTCTAGCTAAGGGATTTGGGGAGACTAAAATCCTAGGAGAAGTGAACGACTTCTTGGGTGAGAGGAGAGGAGGTGGGGTAGTTAAGTTTTGACGGACGAATACTCGCGAAGTAGTCAGAAGTGAATTGGTATGGGAATCTGCCGCACTACTAGTTGCTTCCTGAAAACAATATTTTTTTCAAATAAATCATTTTCAAATTTGAAATTCTGGTAATGATCAAATGGAACTTACTAAGTTGGCTTTCATTTGAAGGGATTGCAGAATAAGCTTCTGTTTAGCTGTTAAAGGTGTGATATTAAGTCGACCAGCACATTCCACAAGGCGGGTAGCTGTGTTTGAATCCAAAAGAGGAGTTGGAATGTCAACGAGCATCTGTAGGAAATCTTCCCCAGTTATTCCGGCTAGGGCTAAAATAAAACAGTTTAGAAGTGAAAATTAGAGCAAACGGTGCTTAAAATACTGAAAGATTGGTCTTAACATTAGGACTTCCAAGATCAAATAGCAAAATAAAGAAATATTCTTGTCAGGCACAACTGAAAAGGCCCAAAAAAGCAAATTTAGAACAGAGTTCATTTGAATTTCCAAGAAATCGAGTAAAAGATCGACATTGTAGGGGAAATCACAGATGTCAGTAATCGCACACACTCAAACCCTGAGGGCTAAAGCACAGCAAATTCAAATGTCATCAGAAAATATATCTGTCTTTACCCAATGATATTATAATAGGGTTACGTTACCTATTCTTGCATGCGACAAATTATACGGATGAGCAGATTAATTATTTGAACACCTGGTAAAGGTCAAACGACTACCGTTTTTAAGATACACTGCAGAAAATGTTGGCACAGATCATAGGAATAATTAAGACGGTGGGTCTGTAAGCTGCCTCACAGTTAAGACGGGAAGTATGCCCCAATACGTATTCAACTACTCTTAAGTCTTGTGGCAGTCAGTTACAATGGGGGTGCAAAAATAGGCGTTTTTGGTAGTGAGGGTTTGGCCCATAGATAGAGACCCAGTAGAAGCAATAGAAAGCTTGAATCTTCTGCCCCAATGACTGCATACTGTGACAGTGTAGAAACATGTTGCCCAAGCATCATTTTCTTCAAAATAGAGTATACAATCGGAGAGGACTCTAAAAAACGGAAGAAATGATAACTCAATGCTGTTCTTAGATTCAAGGAACAGGTCAAAGGTACCTCATGTAGAGGAGAAACGGCGGGTAACTGACTCACTAGGAAAATAAGAGGTCACAGGTTCAATGAAAGTTGGTGCGCGTTCAACAAGTGAAATAAGAAATTCAACTAATGGGAAGGGATTAGGAATATCCCACTTCCTCACAGAAAAACTATGGTATTATTCCATTAACTAGTGGTAATTGTAGAAATATCTTTTCCTGAATGAACTCGGTAATTGCCATATTAGCTGTAAGAGCACATGAAGGTAGACTTCAAAGCCACTAAATAAAGAACGCACCAATGGCACGGAGTTGAGATAGGCCACTGGCAAGAAAAGCAGCCCGCAATTTGGGTGAAATGGTGAACTCATTTGAGGTGCTTAGACTGATCAGACCGAGTTTCGTGCGCATTGTCTCCGAGGAATGCGTAATATGCTGAATTTTTGGAAGATTATGAGCACCAGAGCCGTCATCAGAGATCCAAATGTTAAGAAGATGTCCCCACCACGAAGAACCAACCGTGTCTGAGGCAATAAATCGTTGAGGTATTCGGGAGAGAAATAGTAAATTGGATTCAATAACTTCTAAGTCCATCGGAAGTTGGTTCGATTGCGACCAGACCACGAGTACACTCTAAAAAGTAGGAATAAAAACTCAGAATTTGCATGAAGAGCCACTAAAGCCAATCCCAAAATAATTTTATTCATGAAAGTCGATAAAAGTAACCCAAGATATAAAGACTTTTCTTTCCACCCATTGATAATTAATCTAGTTCATGACATCAAAGCAAATGAATGGATTTTTCGTGAAGGTTTGTGAATAAAAATTCAATAATTGTGTCAAGAAATTGGCATTTTGAGAAACACTTGCCGGTCAAAACCCAAGGAAGAGTTGAATCGTCATATTCCAACGACTTAAACCTGGAACAACCTAATCATCGATTTAATTAAGCGCTCCAACTGCAAGATGAGAATAATCTTTAAAGTAAACTTAAACTAGTTTAAAAGTTGTGATAGCTTTATTGACAACAAACTTATGATGATTGAGAATAGGGAAGTCAGTGAATATACATATTCAAACAAAGTAGAGAGACATTGCTTATGATTAAATTATTTCAAAATGATATTAAGCTATACATTAAAAGAAATACCATTATTCCTGGGATTATATATTTCACGCAAATAGCAAGACAATAAACGATAAGATTTACATTATTCTCATTGACTGGAATGACTTTAGTGGAGGTGCAGAAGTATTCCACATTGAGGACCATGATACGACAGAGATTCTCCAGTAAAATAAAACCTCGTTTATGTTGAAGTTCAACAGGTTCTGTGGGTTCTGGTGGTGCAGGTTGACCTTCAACCATAGGTGGAAGAGGCGCAGAAATGCTCAGCATATCGTCTGATTCGAGAAGATGTTGAATAAGGATCTTTCGATTCATGAGAAATTGGCTCAGACAACTTATTGTTGGATGCCAGGCCTACAATTTCAAACAATGAGGATAATTTTATAAGCACAAAAGAAAAAACAAACTTTCAAAATGAAATTTTTAAGATAGCACATTTGACCAAATATATACATATAACTCCAACCAACTATCAGTAAGAATTTTATATCAACTAGAGAAAAATCAAGATGGATTGAGATCTTCGTCGAGTCGATTCTAGTTAACGACTTTTCAAAAAATAACACTAAGAGGGTCTAATTACAACAACCTCTACATATTTTTCCTTAAAACTGTGAGAAAATCGATCCCAGGAATACACTCGCACAGCGCCAGGCAAATGTGAAGAGCAAGATCTGTTGATTCCCACTTCTCTTACCCTAAAGCAACCAAAAAGCATCAAAAGGCTTGAATTGGCCACCCTGAAAAGGAGAAGAGAAAGCCGTCAAATGAATTTTTGTATAGAAAAAATGCACAGGCATTATTGAGGTTACAACTATTCCTCTAAGGCAGCAGTCAACAAGAACTTCTATGTGCCCAAGCTTCCAATATTCCTAGTCCCGTAGAAAACGAGGGTGGTTGAAACGTCGTGTATTAGCATTTCATCCTTAACATTTTTTATCGAATTCAGTACAAGCCACTTCAAAAAATGTTTCAAAAAAGCATCAGCGTAGACTCGGAGAAAAGGCAAGATACCAAATTCTCCCGAAACCCGAAGTATAAGCCCACTTCGCCTAACCCCAAGTGTTCACTAATAGTAAATGGGGCATACAAGGTAATGAATATTATTATATTATTTAGAAGGGGTGTACGATAGACTTACCTCCACGTGGTGCACCCT